ATGTTCGCCACATCTCTCGTCTCCAAGCCAGGGAATTAAATTAGGCCCAGGCATGGGGGACACCGCTAGCTAGCCGACAAAAGTCGGTTAGTCGGCCCAAAATGTCAAATATATACATTATTGACATCGGTGTTTTCGTTTTAAACATCGACCTTTGGAAGTATTGATGTTTTGTTATAGATGTTGCATCACTAGTTCAATCCAATTCAAGGAGGATGCCGAAACAGAACCATAAACAATTGTCCACGCGCGGTCCTTCCTTTCTTCCTCAACCTTTTTACTCTTTCGATACGGTGTAGGTGAGAAAGTTATGTAATGCTGCGCAAAAAACGACGAATTTTCAGCAAAAAAACTCGTATTACAGGGTCCCGGTAACGAGAAACTGGAAACATTCAGTTGCGACATTTAGAAAAAAGTCCTTTAACACGTGGTGTAGCCAGAATCCATGTTTTGTAGGTTCTTGATACCGAAAAATCGAATGACGGCAAAGCTGTCTGCCTTTTCTTCCGTCCGCCTGTGTACATTGCTAGCGCATAAACCGTTCAGCCCATTTTCTCCTAAATTGATATTTCTCAATCGATCTTGCTGATGTCACGACCCCTTGAATTTGAATCCGATATTTCATTGGAGGGGGAGTACTTTACACGAAGTCCCTGGAACAATTTCAAATTTTTCGTAAAAATGACTATTGTTTTTGAGTAAATTTGGTTGCTGAATAATGCGAAGGACGTTTAAGAGAGTGGCGCAGGTCTGATTTTCGTTGAAAATTCTGATTTTTCGAATTGCGAACATTTTTTTAGCATCTTACTACAACTATAATTCTTAAGATAGATATTTTTCCCTTAATGACTTCTGTTCCTTAAAGTTACATTTTGAAATATGGTCATGTACAGTTTTTCGAAAGTTTGTGTACTTTTCCCCTAATTGTTAATGTACGGGCGAGAAAGTACGTGCTGTTTTAGCACTAGTTTTTACTCTCATTCATAGGATGTGGCCTGGAGTTGAGTTCATGCTCCGTTCTTAGGTGTCCCGTCCTTTGTGATCTCTAAAGACTCCGGCACTAGAAGTGCGGACATGGAATTGTGTAAATTTTGGCATATTTGCAGTATTCATTCCAGTAAATATTAGCAGAGTCCAGGGGCTTTTTTCATCTCTCGTCCGTCTTCAATGACCTCAAAACCTTAAATTACAAAATTTGAAGCAATCATTTTGAGAAGTAAAAACGTGTTTTTGTTAGAAAGAAACTTATTTCAAGTCCCATTAGAGAAACAAAATTATTTGGAGTATAACATAATATCAACCGAATAGTCTGGAACTTTGAAACTTCTCATTTATATTTCATATCAATATGTGTGCACGTAATAAAATCGAAATATCTTCAAAATAAGTTTCACCCTTGAAAAGAGGAAGAGGAGAGGAAACAGATTGGAGGTTTTTGCTTTTTGTAGAAGACCGAATATGCCCTTCTCTAAAGACATGGCCAAAGGATCTTCGCACTTGCTTTATTTTAGGATTTTGCTTATTAACACTATGAAGAAGACAAGAGAAGCGGACCTGTTTCCGGGCGAAGTAAGCTTTCCATGCTTACGACAATCCGTTCTTTATTGAAACGTTGAAGTTTTGAACTAAAAGATGCGGCTTACCGTAAACTATTGCAGCAAGATTTGAAGTGGCTGCATGGAAGATGCTACAAGAGAATTATGGGATGTGTGGATTACACATAACATCAAACGTATTAAATAAAACTACTTTATTATAACAAATATGTACAAATTAGTTTTTTTAAATAGTAATAACATATAATAATATCTCTTCGAAATAGTTTGGAAGAATTTGCGGAGGGAAACATTTTTAATTAGCTTCACAAATTCTTTTTGAAGGCTGTTTGCGAAACGGTAGTTTTACACTCTCTTATGGTACATTTCTTTTCTCAAGCAGTTGGTATGTATTGCTCATTTTACTTAGCGAAATTTTGGCAAGGTTGTATTTGAACAGTAACAGGATTAGAATAGGAGACCATCTTGTTTAGTACATGCCATATGATGCATATTCAGCTCCAGTTCGTTCAGCTTTGAAATCGTAATTCACGTTCTTTTGTGACTAAAAGACTGTAAACAAAAATGTTTATAACATATTTTAATAAAGAGAATTATACATTATACATTAATTGATTTCCTATCACTCCTTCGTGCAGCAAGTCACAAGCAGTCGGATGCAACATTTATCTATTCGGGTGATGAGCTGAAGTCACTGTTTGTACATTCTTGTACTAATAATGTCAAATTCGATCTTGAATATCGGTTTGGCCACAGCCGATGAGGACTATGTACTATATAACTGTATCCAGTAATATTGGAACAGTTGAACATTATTGTATTAAAGGCGGCCAGTCTTTCAATTGTACTATAGCCATTACACACAGTTTTTGTAGTTCGAATTAATTCCAGATATTATTCCGTGAAGTAAATGGACTCGTTCGTCTTAATCTGAGAAGGCTCATTTTAAGGGATTTCAGCTAAAATTAGTTCGATCAAATTGTCTAGTGGCATTTCATTTTTGAATATTCCAGTATAAATTTCGTGGCCACCCCGAAAGTTTTTGAGAAACTTGAGTCTCGTTTTCCTCGTTGGGTGTTCGTGTCGGCAACCTGTCTTAATAGTGCACATCTTGACATTTGCATTTAGTTTCGCACATTGCAAATATAATCTTAGAACTTGTGAAAACGACTTACAATGAACAATAACAAGTAAACAAGGTACAATGTCTTTATGTTTATAAGGAGCAAACTATATACTCTGATAAGAACATTGTCGTTCGTAACTTTCTTGTGTAATATCCATGGTAAATGGTATGAGACGAGTAATTAAATGAGGCGTGAGCATTGTGGGCGATTTGAAGACTGGTTCTGTCGCCAGCGCACTCTTATGGCCTCTGCTGCTCTTTACTTCATTACTTCACCTGTTTATAGGTAGACGCCAGCGTGTCATGGCTAGACCAGATTTTTAGGCTAATTTTTGACAAGATTTTTAGCCTGTTTTACTCTTTTGAGAGATACTTCTAATTATTTCTTATCACATTTCATGACGACACAGAGGAACAACGTATACAGTATAAAATTCCTATTGTTCCTGTAAAATCCTAAAACACAAACGCCAGTATAATTTTTGAAACTACAAAGAATAAACTGGAATTCTGGATTGAAATCCTCACTGAAACTAAAATCTACCTTTACGAAATTTCCGGATCGTTCTGGCTAAAGTATGCATAATAATAAATTAATGCATTTGTTTTTCAGCATTAAAACATGTGTTAGTTACATGTAGGTCTACATTCTGCGCATAAAGTATCGTGATTCATGTTCTAGGGTTTACACTTCAATCTGTGCTTTTCTTAATCAAAATACTCGTGTATTAAAGAAAACAGTTGGAAATTAAATAAAAATGGATGTAAAATAAAAACGTACGTGGCAATGCTTTAGAATTTAGAGAGCATATGTTTTACGAGACGAGCCTAAAATCCATGGCCTAGTGATGACTTGAGTGTAATACAATGTTGACATGGTCCAAATGCAAGGATGTATCTTGCGAATATCTGCTAATGAGCATTGTAGGGGCAGATATATTAGTTAACATCAAAAAGAAAACAAATTGTCTAAGCTGTTCGTATTTTTATACCAATTCATGTTACTCTTCTTAAAGAGGATATCTTACTTTTATTTAGTCGTTGAGACTTGACCATAAAACGTGTTAACTTTTTATATTTTACTCTAATGACCAGACGACACGTTTATCTGAAGGGAGTTCATATAAATCTATTACTTAAAACATTTTCTACGTTATACTTATGAATGTCTTTAAGCTTATCGATTATCGTTCATCTATCTATACACTACCGATGCTGTCATGAGCCAACCATTGATTTTCGGATGTACGAAGTTTCTGGGAGGCTCGTTGATACATGAGCAAAATGGCTTCTAACTTCATGTGTACAAATTAAAAAAATCCACTTCACGAAAATAATGGTTACCCTAATTAACAAATACTCAGTCCCAGTTCGCAGTGACAAGTCTGTCCTATGCGCACGGGTGCGCCTGAAGACCTCTGACTGCAAGGTGCACCATGGCGTTGTTATTTATAATGATCATCAGTCCCTAGCCTTTTTGGCCGTTCCTGAGTCAAGTAGTTTGATGAGTGGATGATGAGTGATAATGGAGCAATGACTGAATGAGGCGCAGGGGAGACGGGAGGACCCCGTAAAAACACTTCGCGAACCCGCCTTGCCCACCACAAAGTCCACGTGGGTCGCATGGAATTTCAAACACGGCTCCCAGCGGTGGAAGGCGAGCGGCCTCACCAATCCTGCGATAGCTGCTTGGCTGTCCGAGAGACGCCGCGTGCTAGGCACAAGTGCCAACGTTTCGGCCGCCATTCCGCGACCTTCCTCGGGGCGACTTAAGGAGAAATACGTTAGCCTCTGTGCCTACGTCGCAGCGTCTCCCGAACAGCCAATTAAGGCCCATTCACAATGCAAACATAAACATAAGCATGGCGTAAACATGAAAGTTAGGACTACGTCCATAAACGGACTCATTCACAATGCGCATAATACGTAAGACGTTAACTTAAAAGCTTCAGACGTCTGTGCTTATGCTTAAGTAAGACATAAGAAATGAACCAATCACAGGACGTTACCTCAAAATCGAGAATCGAAATAGGATTGTAGTCGATAGACGTACTAACGCCATATGCGCCATGGACATAGTCGATACCACAAATCGATTCTCTCATCCAATCAATAGTAAACTAGAATGCCTCACAGCCAATAGAAACTCGTAATTTTTCGTACGTTTATGTTAGACATCGTGAATGCTTCAGTCTATCACTTACGTTAATGTTTACGTCCATGCGTTACGTTTGCATTGTGAACGAGCCTTTAGCTCCTGACTGCGGCCGCGTTAGCCTACTCTCTCCCTCCCCTGCGGATCGGCTCTCACTACGGTGTTAGTAATTGGCGTCGCAGCCCGAACTGGCGAAGTTGGATCTGGCGGGGGCGTACACATAGTCGGGGTCGCACACCGTCCCTCGCACCGCCGCGTCCACCGGCGCCGTCAGGATGCGGAAGTTGACTTCCCGCGGGTCCAGCTTCCGGTAGAGGTACTCGTGCAGGCGGTTGCTCAGCACCCACACACTCTGCCGCCGCTCTTGGTCCACCTTCAAGTCGTTGGGGAATTGCAGCGTCACGTTGTCTTGCGCCACGATGCCCTGCGGAAGAGACACAATATGAATGTTGTTTGTTGGTCTTCATAAAATGAAATAAGTGTTTCAGAAAATAGTGTTCGCGTATGGGAACAACCCAGAATATGTTATAAATCAAGATTATTTTATTCATTTTACGTCAAAAACAGTTAAAAACTGTGTGACATACTATGGGGAAAAGTGTAATCTTCTGTGCACGTTTTCATAAATTCTGGGATCTCTACCCTAAACCAAAAACAAGTTGAGTGATAACTACTGGTGGAACAAGCGTTTTGAGGAAGAACTGACAAGAAAATATTATTTCCCATGTAATAAAGTAACTATTTGCGAAGGCAAATCAGCTACAGATTTGGGCTATTATGCCTCATCGTGAGCTTCGTGAAGGAATCGAGTTATTGCAACGAGAACATTTCCTTCTTGATATAGCATGTAATTATATAGAAATATTTAAGCAGAAAAACAATTTTACTTGGGACTTCAACTTATGTATGAATTTCAACCGTTTAATGTCATATGGCAATATGTAGTAAAATAATGTGCATGTGTTGTATGTGAATTTCTTGTAGTGAGTGTTGATATTGACCCCTTATGAATATGATAATTATGTCGTGTGTTATAGTTATAGACATTTCTGTTCTTTAAAAATATGGCCCCACCCGTGAATAAGCCATTTTTCACAAAAACAACTGATTCGTAAATGAAGAGGCAAGACAAAGACAGAATGCCTAGTTCAATAAAGAGAGGCTAACACAAATCAGATAGGTGGGATTTGTGTATTATTTGTACAACTCTTTTTTGCAATCAATACGTGGGGGATAGGATGTGTTTCCTCGGAATATTTTGCCATATCGCAGGCGGGAATAACCATTCGCAAAAACCGTAACCGGTAAAACAGTTACAATAATGATATCAAAACTGTTCAGTTGTTGCAAATTATTGTTTAAGTCTCATGCATGGAAAATAGTATTTACTCCACTGTTTATTGTTTCGAAATAGTTACTGTGTGCACGTCTTTTATCGTATGCGTACCGCAAAGAAGTCAGAGCCACATGAAGCAAATGAATACTTCAACGTTAACAAAATACTGGAGTGAGATGAATCAACACCACTGCCGTTTCGCGTATTGAGAATGATCCCAAGAATTTTTAATTGTGTGCTTCCACGAATGAGTACAAAATCAAAAAAACAATGTACCGATTTCGTACGAAAGTGTCTTTGGCGTAAAATGCCGGACTCCTACGTTGCCGTGTTACATAAATAATTATTAAACTACGTGCATATATTGTTTTAATATTAATGTTAATGCAATTTTCATATTAATGTAATGTTATTTTAATATTAAATATTTAAACTGCGAATACATTACTTGAATCGGTTATTTCAGAAATCCGTCAAGCGCCAAATTCCTCATTTCGAGAAAATTCAGAAAAAGTTTACCAATTTTTTCTGATTTCAACATACTTTTATTTATTAAAGCAGTCGATAAATGTATATTTTTCATATAAATACGCACTAAACGATGTGTCTATCTTCTTGGAACAATAATCCGCCGCCAATGCGTGTTTTAGATTTTGGCGTTCGCAGTTTCGCAGTTTAAATATTTAATATTAAAATAACATTACATTAATATAAAAATCACATTAATATTAAAAATTGCGTTAACATTAATATTAAAACAATATATGCACGTAGTTTAATAATTATTTTCGTAACCACTACAGAAAGTAAGTCTTTGGAATATGAAAGAAATGTTGGTGGATACGGCACCGTAGGAGACGAGTTCGGCATTTTACGCCAAAGATACTTACGTACGAGTTCTGTACATTGTCTTTTTTAATTTTCTACTGACGTTCATTTTCTTTCGTAAGACATTTCAAAATCATCAGGCGGCCCCATGATTTGGTCCGACCGCGCCTCACCTGCAGGTCCATGCGGTGGCCGGCGGGCTGGCGCGAGTTCCAGCAGCCGACGGCGTCGCGCGAGACCAGGTTGTAGAAGAGCACGCCGCGCCGGTCGACGGCGGCGCCCGACGCGTGGCCCCGCTCCGCGGCGCGAGGCTCGCCCAGCGGAGCGAACGCCTCCGCCTGCTCGCCCGCAAGGCTCTCGTTGCGCAGCACCTGCAACCGCGCGCGTCCGAGCACCGTTAAGGATTGCTACACCGAAAAAAAGACCAGTTGGAGTGTACCTGATCCATGATATTGTAACAAGGAAACTTATGGATTTGGTTCGGTTCGTTTTTTTTCGGTGCAGATCCATGATACTGTAACAATGTTCCTTGTTCGTAAAACTACCAATCAGAGCAGCCGAGCTCTAGAATTCTTCTGGTATTCGATCTAGCTAAAGCCGAAAATACACCATCATCAGGACTCGAACCCTAAGTCTTCCCGTTCAGAGGCACTGCAACGTCATCAGATGGTGTTCTCTGCCACCTCAGATGGTCAAATTTATAGGGCATTTTCTGGGGTCGAAGATGATCACGTTTAGTCAATGAATATGAGGTGGGAAACCTCATAGGAATGTTATATGTGATTCATTTCTTATATCGTACAGTGTCCGTTGTAGGGTAGGAACGAACACAATAGGAAACATTAAATATAAACTTGTCATTTGCAAACGCAAGTTTGTCGTGACCGTTAGCAAACGCAATGAAGTGCACTAACCGAGGTGCGCACGGCGAACTCCGTTCGTGAAACTACCAATCAGAGCAGCCGAGCTCTAGAATTCTTCTGGAATTCGATCTAGCTAAAGCCGAAAATACGCCATCATCAAGACTCAAACCTTAGGCTTTTCCGGTCAGAGGCACTGCAACGTCATCAGATGGTGTCCTCTGCCACCACAGTTGGTCAAATTTATAGGGCATTTTCTGGGGTCGAAGATGACCACGTTTAGCCAATGCATATGAGGTGATAAATTGGTTATAAGAATGTTATATGTGATCCATTTTTATACAGAATAATGTACATTTTAGGGAAGAAATAAAGGCAATAGGAAACATTAAATATAAAAATGTCGTTTAGCAATCGCAATGCAGTGCACTCACCGAGGTGCGCACGGCGAACTCCCGGAAGGAGGAGAGCGGGTGGAAGAAGAGCAGGCGGTCGCCGAGCGCGTCCTCGGGCGCCAGCGCCAGCCCGAACACGCCGTCCGTCCAGCGGAAGCGCACGCCGTGCACGTCGTACTTGCTGGCCAGCGGGTCCGGGAAGAAGAGCGGGCTCTCCACGCGCCACGACCGGTCCTCGCGCCAGCTGCAACGCACGCCCCAGATGGTCGCTCGCCCTCCGCGCCAGCGCAGGAAACAAAAGCCCCGCTCACCCCACACACCTCCCGCAATGCGCAGACTGCTCTTTGCAACGGTTGATTTGAATTAGAAATTTGCGTATTTGTGTTTTGAATTTTAAAAAATAACTCCTGGATGTCCCTGATTGTGATAATTAGTATAATAGAAAGTAAAAACACGGGAAATAAAATCCCCCTCTCCTCCAATGCACAAATTGATCTTTGCAACTAAGTAACTTAGAATGGATAATTTGAATTAGAAATTATATATATATATATATATATATATATATATATATATATATATATATATATATATATATATACTTTCAATTTAAAAAATTCCATCTGGAAGTCACTGATCGTGATCATTAGTACAAGAGAAGATAAAACTTAAAGAACAAGAAATTTAATTTATATTACGTAGTGTAGAGAAATATCGTACAAAAAAGCACACGGGAACCAACCCCGCTCCACCAATTCACAAATTGCTATTTGCAACTGAATAACTTAGAATGGATAATTTGAATTAGATATATACATATTTACATGTTTTGAATTTAAAAAATGCCTTCTGGATGTCACTGATCGCGATCTTTAGTACAAGAGAAAGTAAAACTTAAAGAACAAGGAATTTAAATCGTTTATTTATTCGAAAAACTATATTATACAACTAGTTTATAAAATTAAACTTGTTTTCTTAAGTACATATTTTGAAAACGAGTGACGTAAGACCGAGTTTTAAAATTCGTACGATTGCAATGAACAACATTATAAATGAACTTCATGCGTAATTTGTTTATAATATCATTATATATTTTTATAATCAAAGTTAAGTTTTGAAATCAACTTTGTTCTTACGTCACGGGCCAGTTTGTTCTGCGAAAAAGACGGCGGTAGGACGTGCGGTTTACTCCACGATTCGCTCGCTGCGATTGGTTGAATGTGGGTTAATGTAACTTTCCAAGCCATAAACGGATACTACAACATCACAATCTGTGCCCCAAAATGCCATTTTATGAATGATTTCTTGAAACGAAAAAGATTATAATAATAGGACACAAAGATACTAGTTTATGCAATTAGTTTATAAAGTTAAGCTTTACAGCATGAGTACATGTTTTAAAATCAGTACGAATGCAAAAAAGCAACATTACAAACGAGTTGCATACGCCATTCCTTGCATAACAGCATTATAAATTTAAACTAACAGAGAATCAATAAATTTATTAATTGTTTTTATTTATAAATTTATTGAGAATCAAACTTAATTTTGCGAAACAACTTTCTCGTGACGTCACGGGTATTTGACATCCGTACGAGAAAACGGTGATGGTTGGCTGTTCCATTCACCGCAACCTCCCCTACGATTCTCTGATTGCGATTGGCTGCATGTGTGAAGACTCGATCATTCGTGCCGTAAAATCCAAACACATCATTAAAACACTCCGTAAAACTCCCAATTATGAACGATTTCTTGGGGTCGTAAAGGTCGTTTATAATGCTGACGTACAAAACAAAACAAAACAAAACAAAAAAACAAAAAAAAGAGCAAAAAATCAAAGCAAAAAAGGAAAAAAAAACAAGTATATGTAATGAAATGAAAAAGAAAATGGCGGCGCCGACCTGTAGACGACGAGGCCGTAGCGGAAGACGTCGGAGGCGTAGGCGTAGGCGTCGTCGCAGCGGCCCGCGCGCACGTCCACCGCGATGTTGGTGAAGAGGCCCCCGGGCTTCGTCTGCGCCTCGGGGATGACGTAGCGCCACAGCAGCGCGTCCGTGCGCAGGTCGAACACCAGGATCTGCGGGGCGCGCGCGGTCCGGAAAGTGGTAGGCAAATTAATGGGAATTAATGCAAACAAAACAACCTTTTTGTAGTTATCATTAAAGAATACGTATTATAATACACCTTAGAATATAAATAATATTCAGTAATAATAATAACAATAATAAAAACAATAACAACAATAATAGTAATAATAATAATAATAATAATAATAATAATAATAATAATGTGTCTCTGTAGGTTTGTGTGTGTCTATTTCATCATCATTACTACAGCCCATCCCCCAGGGCTTACAACTTTGGGGTGTAAAAATGGAATCAGCATTAAGTGCTGATCCTCCCGATAGTAAAGTAACGTGTATCTACTCCGATAATCATGACTGATCCCCGGTGGGATGCACTTATCGCGTGGCTCTATGAAGGCCGATTTACGAAAAAAAAAAAACAAAAATAATACTATTATAGCAATAATATAAATGTGATTGAAAGCGACAAAACAGGTGTGTCAAAGAGACCTGATACTATTGTTTCCCATAAAACAAAGGAAGGCCTTCTAATACAATACCCATGAAGTCTGTAAGAAGAAGACTCAACTTCGATATCGGAACCTTGAAGGGGATACGTACGATAAACGTTGGCAGCTAATCGGACACACTTAGCTTCAGCGTCATCTCACTTTTTTCGGCAATATCGACGCGCGTACATGAATTTCACCATCTCCATCTACACTTTAGTGTGTGTAAGTAAATGTAGATGACGTTGATTTGACGCATGAGCTTGGTGGACATTGGCCGAAAATGCCTTAAAAGGACCTCTCACTGACCGCGTGATGTCGCTGAAGCTAAGTGAGTGCGATTAGCTGTCGACACTTTTCATACTACCACCACCACCACCGGAGTCAAGTCTCCTTCTTCGAGACTTCATGATAATACATATAATCTAAAATAACAATAGGATTAAAAATATAGTTGTATAATCACATTTGTGGAACTGTACCGCGAATTTTCAAGCTCAATTTGCGACAAAGAACCCGCTTTAAGTTCTACGAAGATAAGCCATTGCTCCTGTTACTTTATAGCAGCCAGAGCTGGACACAAACATTAGACTAGTTGTCGAGAATTGAATAAAATTTCTTCGCTTTGTAATAGGATTCACACTACTTCAGGAAAGTGTAGTTAGTGAGAACTGAATACTGAAGAAATACTGAGATCGTAACGATAGAATTAAAAAATGCTGAGAAAATGGGTAAGATCTACTTTCATTGTTCAGAAGAAAACAAATGATCATCTAGCATTCGCTCTCAGGACCACTGGGGAACTGGGCGACAACAAGGATCGAAAGTCCTGCAATCAGTAGTAGTCTTCGAATGCATTTACATTGGCAATTTCTTTAGATACTGAGTCACTTATTTTGCTATGTATCATTTTCGACTTTCTTGGCTTGCACTAATTGTTTAAAATTTATTATGTGGATTTTTATAGTTTTACTTTTTGTTGACTTTCGCTGGCAGGATAATTATAACTGTGCAAATCTATTATCGGAAATATGCGCAGATTATCCGTCTCCTCCATACTACGTCATGTCTAGTTTTTACTGGTTTTTAGAAAAATAAATTAATAATGTAGTTTTTAAGTAATTGAAACTAATAGATTCTTACTTTCAAACCTTGCGGAAGGTGATGCGGAAAAAATACATTAGACTGGAACATTTGAATGTTTGATTGTTTTTGTAATAACTGATGAATATGAATTCTCCTAATGGATTTTAAAAATATTCATTACAAATCAATTCAATTTTAAGTGTACTCACGCACACATGGCGTATTGCGTTTCGGCGCCCTCAACGGCGCGACTCACCTGCGGCGGCAACTTTTGCTTGAAGCTCTGGTGATGTCTGCGACGCCGAGTCCCGATGACCCAGAGGGCGACCGCATGGTCAGCGCCATGGCGGAACACGGACGTGAGGCCGTCGCAGCCAACTGGAGGTGCCAAGGCCCATCCGGGACGGTCTGCAAGCAGAAAGGCGTGACAGGTGCGGTGCAAGTTCAATCCTTTGGCACTTCCAGAATTTTGTGGCAGTGATCGAGAGACTTTGCACCGACTCGCGTGTTGGAGTGTATTCTAACGAGATGAATTGGTTTCTCCCAGGGATCTAATTTTGATAAGGTTTTTCCTGAAAACTGAAAGAGTAATTTGAAGTGTACTGACAACATTCGCGAGAAAATGTTCTGCAAAATGTTGGTCACGCTGCAGATATGTTTAGTGTCTCACCCAGAGGGTTTTACACGTTTTACTGTCACTCGATGTCCCGAATACCGAGAGCCACGAACATTTTTCTGGTCGCTGAGTCCTCTAGTGACCTCAGGCTTCATGACCTAAAAGGGATCTCAGCAGAACCCACAGACAACCTCATAGCATTTAATGACATAACGTGTGAAGATATATCGCAGAACTAATGATATTTAAAAAAATACATGGATAGCGAGTGTGTGTGTGTGTGAGTGTGTGTGTGAGCGTGCGTGTGTGATGGACAGAGTTACTAATAATAAATTGAATGTATTGTATCAATATCACTTCAGTATCTATTTACAGACAGAATCAATTCTTCACCCGTCCGTGATATTGAAAATTTCATATTCTTATTTTCCTGCGCCCTAAGAAGATCCGAAATAATTGGCTGAAACATGTTTTAATTCAATTTTATACTTAACTTTTCTATGTTGTTTAACATACGTATGATTGTTTGAATGTGTGGGTTTACAAAGCCGTATTTTGACCGTGAATACAATATTGAACTGATATTTACACATACACCTAAGTAGACATATACATAGACATAGACACGGTGTAGAATTGATATCATTGCAGTAAACGTAAATGCGTGTGTCTGTGGGCCGAAAGGGGGTTCTGATTCATTGTATAATTTCCATGAATTCTAAAGGCGCCGCGAAAGTGAATTGGAAAGATTTAGCAAGGTTCCTCGAATTTACGCGTTAAGGATTTATTTATGAACTCGTGAATTAAGGAAGATGTATTTTACCTACTCTCGAAACCGTCTCTTAAAATCATCGTTTCCTGTGCCCTTTGATATAAAAAATGTTGATATGTGAATAACTGCAACCAATATTTGGAGGTGTTTCAGAATGAAGGATATTTCCGTAACTAATTTTCACGGTTCCCGGTAATTTAACTTCAGGAAATAATAGAACGAATGGTATTTACTATTAATTTCCCAGTCCTTATTCACGTATTATGCAGTGTTCCCATGTTTAATTCTGAAACCTGCTATCAGGAAGTAAATGCATTCCAAACTACATTCTCTTTAAACTAACCAATAGAGAAAGTGTAAATATCATGCAGATTCGTTCGTTATTTCGTGTATGCCTCCTTGCAGGTCTGCGCAGGGCTTGCATTGTCATGGAACAGAATGACCCCATGCGCTTCATACCGCCAACACAATTACGTCACTCTTGCAGAAATTCAAGTCGAAAAGCAATAATTGATCTTCGAATTTTATAACCTCGCTATATTTGCTTCCCTAACTATAACCTCAAACCTCGATTCCGGGTCCGTCAACTGTTACGTCTTTAATCCTGCAAGTAGTAGTAGTGCAATTTTCTCGCTCGGGAAGTGGCGGTGATCTTTCCCTCGTTGTGTGGTGAGATCCGGCGCCGACCTACCGTTGGTTAGCCGGGTTTTCCCCAACCAGATTTACCCCACCAGCGGGG